ACGTAACCGTGTGCAAAATGTTTAGCACACGGCATGTGCAAAATACCGTTTTCAGAGCGTGTTTTCCGTGCGCAAAACCCCCTTTTGCAAGGCAGTCGTATAAAAAATGAGTTAAAATCATAACCAACTTCAATCATAACAACAAAGTTTCCGATAAGATGTTTAAATTATACTGTTTTGTACTAATTCCTGTTTAGTTCATAAAAATAATGCCAGCAGCACGGAAATATATTTAAAAACACTTTTAATATAAATAATTTATAAATACTTTTAGGTTGTAAGCAAAAACAACCCCGAATCGGGTATTATTGATGCAAAATTTCGAATTTCATAACAACTAATGGGCGGAAATGAAGGGTTAACTTTGTTTACACTTCAACGCTAAAGAAAAGGTATTTTGTAACTCATCAAGATGTTTTGCATAATCTCTGGTTAATCTCTGGTGGAATTTAATTAAAAGTTTTCATTATTCATCGGCTCATGAATACCTTTCGACAATATTATATTCGAGGTCACATCCTGCACATTGGGGTATTACAATGTTAACCGCTATTTTTTCAGGAGAAGTGCTGTGTTCTAGTACCAACAAGTGAAAAAATACATATAATACTACATATTTTATTTTTTCTACATTTATTGGGTATTCTATGAGCTATGAAAAAACTTATGAAATAAACTTGTATATCAAAAGGAAATCCTTTGACAAATGTCATGGGTAACTTTATGAAAATAGTTTTGTTTGTCTACAGATCTCACAGTGAAAAAACCCAGACAAACAATTTTAAAGTATTCAGCAGACTTTTCGTTTTAAAATTATTTTTTACAGTTGCAATTTGTTTTGTAGGGGCATTGTGAATTTGTTTGTTCTTGTGTGCTATGGCTATTATTTTCCGCAATAAAAAAGACAGAACAAATTTTGTGCAACAGTTTGGCAACTCGATTTTAATAAATAATGTTAATATTAGTTTCTATAATTCCGTCAAAAACCTTGGGTTAATAATTGATCAAAATTTGGGCTTTTCTCTTCACATCAATAAATGCTTGCAAAAGGTTACATGGCTCTTAAAGCTATATGTGCTAATCGTTTATTTCTTAATCGTAATCTGAAGGCTGTCCTTTGTGATTCATTAGTATTAAGCCACATGAACTATTGTGATGTGGTGTACAACACCTGCTTGTCTGCATCTGATACCAGTCGAATCTAAAAGCTTCAAAATTATTGTTTACGTATAAATTTTGGCATTCGTAAGTACGGTCATATAAGTCATACTTTTAAATTAATTCGTTGGCTGAATATGAAAAATAGAAGGTATGTTCATTCAGCGTATTTTTTCCATAAAGTTCTGTTAACGAAAACCCCTCCGTATATAGAACTGATGTTCATAACGTAAATATACGTCGCAAGGATACCATCACGCCACCCGTAAATCGTACACAATTCTTTAAACGGTCCTTTCTATATAATATTACTAAAACTGTAAATAGTTTACCTAATTGTACCAAGTTTATGTCTCTGAATAGGATTAAAAAATACATTTTTGATGTCACCATGGTTGCTGTCCAATAGAGCCCTTATAACATAGGTACTGTCAACAAACTGTAATTTGTAATAGTTCTGTTTTTATAAAAAAAAATTATTGTGTTTAAACTTATATAATGTTTTGTTCAAATTACTGCGAATTTAAGGGTTAGTTGGAAGAACAGCTGGCTACTTAGATAGTCGAGCTGAAACTCGCCCTTATCCCAAAAGGATAATAAAGACCTTTATTATTATTATTATTATTATTATTATTATTATTATTATTATTATTAAACTCCCCAATATTTATATTGAAAACTTTTAATCTTACGCCCCTGTAATATACAACTCTCTTACAGGTATAAAACAACTGACATCCAAAATAAGCAATAAAAACATATTTTTAGCTAGTACGTTTATCTTACGCTTCCTGGATTTTGTATACCTGCCTGTTGAACATACCGGGAATTGCCTACGGTACTATAAACATAATCACATCCCGTATAATGCTTTTAGGAAACTATGAAGAGATGCTTTATCACAATTTTTGAGTATCTTTACAAATTTACTTGACAAGACAGTAAAGGTACATTTTCTGATATTTACATGTTCTCCGTGATCTTTCAATGCGAAAAATTGAAGGAAGTTGATCTAGTTCAGCGTTACGTTTCGTCACTTCCTGGATGGAGCTGCTTGTTCTATCACTGTCCTACTAAAAGTGCGATTTCTTGTCTTTAAAACGCCATCATTCAGAATAGCTCAGCTATTTAATGAACAACATCAAGATCGACATGTCAGGAGGAAGTATGTTGCAGGAGGAAGTATGTTGTAGAGTTATTAAAAAAATTTCAAGAGACAGGGAACGTAGCCAATAAAAACGAGAAATTGAAAAACCTATAGTTAATGAAGCTAGTGAAGTTGCAGTTTTGGGACAAGTTCATCTTGATCCTACATTAAGTACGAGGCAGCTGGCATCTGTGTCTGGGATCAATCGAACTAGCATACAAACCATTTTGAAGAATAATAAATTCCATCCATACAAAATACATATAGTTTGCAATTTTGCGAAATAATGAGTGAGCGAGCATATTTCAGGTATTAAACAGAAATTTTTGCACAACAGAATTGTGCAGGGTGGAATATAAAGAAACTATGTCTAAACTTAAGGAAAGTGGAAAGAAATTTCTAATGTATAATTCCAATACTATAATCTCGTAATTACCAGGAATATCTAGATTTTATGGTTATCAGATTATTTCATGTCTAATCATTACAAAAATGAAAATAAATGTCAAGGTTTTTGTGCAAGTTCACATTCTGCTAAAACTGTCTTTTCCATGACTATAAATTTAGATTGAATGAGAATAATAAATAATAGACTTTTCTCGTAAAGACCTAGGACCAACAATCGGACGGGTACAAAGATACCTTGAAGAACGACGTAGAAAAATCAGAAGCTAAGGAGCACAGGGCAGATACAGACACGCGTTAACCAGAATTCTAGTGTGAGGGAGAAGATTTTGGTAAATGCTCTGCAAGAAAGCAATAGAAATCCAAAAGAAACGAGATTTCAAGTGAGACAAAGATGCAACAAAAGCCGGGACGCGTAGTAATTTATTTGTAGGTTCTCAGAACGGATAGGCCAAAAAGTACTAAGTGCACTAATTTATCGGAAAGTTAATGGGTTTCAAGTAGGCTTAACGTTGCCAAGACCGTCCTCGGGGAAGGCTTCACGAAATTTAGCAATATTTTTTGAACAAGTTCACTTAGAGTCGGGGTCATGTGTTGAGTAGGTATAAAGAGAAGAATCGATATTTCAAATAACGCGCGAAATGCATTCCGAGGAACGTAGGAATTCCAAGAATAAGTTGTTAGAATGTTGTGAGGAAAAGAAAGTAATAAGTAAAATAGCTGGTTTTTTGGCGGATTTTCCAAGCTATAAGGATATATTAAATGAGATCGACTAATCCGTCCCGTACCGCTACACGGAGTCACTAGAGGAAGGCTAGGGTTATTTGTAAGTTTAGTCTCAAAATTATTTAGATAACTATTAACATGGCATAGTTATGCCAAAGCGTCCCGATATCCAGGGTTCCCGCCAGTAAGATAAGAACAGAAACGTCTGGACCCAAGAAATGGGCGTGTCGAAGCGAATTGTCGAATTCAGGAGAGATCTACGAAACAAAGTCAGTTCTTCCTTGAGTTTCACATTGAGCAGTCTACTTAGTTTTAGAGTCTCGGGTTAATTTAATAATGGATAAAGTCATTCCAAATTTTGCTATGGAGCGCGCATTCCCTGAATCTCGGTACGCTGTCGCGTGTCAATAAATTAATTAATAATGTTGTTCGAGCCGTTGTGTTGCTATTTTGTTTGTTTGTTTTGTTTATTGTTATTAAAACCCTTCCTGGAAGTTTTGGTGTTTCCTTTTGCTTCTCTCAACTTCAGTATCACCCTGTATAGCCAGCCACTGGATTACATTCTACGTAAGCAATAGAGGGTAAGTGCTTGAAATTCATTCTCTGAACATACAACATTTCTAAGTTCCCACGTGTTAATTAAAGTATAATGATAATTATAAACTCCCTTTCGAGAATTAAATAGTAAACTCTTTTGAAATCCAGACTCGTTATGATACTGGTCATAACGGTAGATAGATAATTAAAGAAATAACCCCTCAGGTTACAAAGGGTTAAAAGCACATGGAACGACTCATCTGAAAAAATCAATAGAAATGCCGACTACAGGACAAAATCTTCAGTTTCCGCAGTTTTTTTCTGGGGAAGAAAGCGATATGGTTCTCGTAATGTCACCTAAGCCGACGATGTGACAGCTACTCCAAGAATTGTTCAGCCATTTTATTGGTATATTTCATTTATTTACATTTTCATACCTCATTTAGAAAGAACAGAAATAATAATATACACACATAATTAGCACTAAATACTTTTTCACAAAATTTTGCGCAATCTCAACTGAAGAGTTATAAAATTCAGCGGCGTAGTCAGATTTTAAATAAAGAAATGCTTTACTAATTTTGGGAAAACCCTAAATGTGTGAAAGTGTACTGAGGGGAGTTTCCACATCCTCCGCTAGAGGGAGTCTCTTCCATAGTGGAAAGAAATAGGAGGAAAACATCCTTGTCAGATGGGGCAATATGCCACAAAGTTAGAAGCTTTTTCGTTTGCAAAACATAATTGCAAAAGTAATTTATTTTATAATTTATACACCCAAAATATCCATACTATCTGAAAACTTTAATAACTATAGTACCTTAATTCATATTTTACTGGTCCGACGATATTTGTCAAAATAACTGTATTAATTTATAAACCAGCAACTATTAATATCTGAAATTAGTAACCATAATTAAATACGTATATCATATTCTGGCCATTAGCCTATTTATGTCTGTCAGTTTAGTGTATGAATCTGGCAACACTGAAGGAACTACTGATGATAAAAAATATATAAAACTCTCACCATCAAGAGTATCATGCTCTGCTGCTTATTCTCCGTGGTGAAGGCCTTGACGCCCAGTACGAGTAAAAACACGTACGCGACCGCAGTTCCAAGATTTCTGACGTCGAAGACCGACTCCACCAGGGGCAGGGTGCCCATAGTCCAGTCGCAACACAAGTTACAGGGGAAGAGCAGCAGCCACAGGTTCACGCTGATCAAATAGTGGTAGGTAAGTTGTCTCGTAGGTGTGGCAGCAACAGATGCGGGATTATCGAATCTGGTAAAAACGGGTAGTTGGGAACCCATAATTTGAAGTCGCGCCAACAGCAGGCATAGTGTGGTGGCGGCAAGAACAGCCAGCCTCTTTGTGGCTTTGTTGGACCAGGGTATGTGGTACGAGGACTTGGCTGTGATGGCAGATTTCAGGATGTACTTCATTTCTGGCAAGCGAATCTGCAACAAAAATTAAATATTTAATTGTATAGTAGCTTCAACACACAGGTCCAAAATTTGCTGTATTCTGACGTTCTAAGGGGTTAAAGGAGTTGATTATTCACAAACATACTAAAATTGCTTTAAAGCGCTGGAACATATTGTCACCTAAACCTAAGCACAAATACTTGGAAAATGCAGTCTTCTTAGTTAAGAATAAATAAATAAATAAATAAATAAATAGTCAAAAATGAATATGCCAAATTATTATTATCTTTTTTGTAAAATGTCATAAATAATATAGTGTTTTCAATAATAACTCAATAAATGTTGTTACTTCTGATTTAAAAATGTAAGAAGCACATTTTTCCCATTCTAAATTTCTTGAACGCAATTTCTGCATATGAACTATGATGGTATCAATGCCACTTGATTTTTCTTTTGAACGGAAATATAAAGAGATACCAAGAGATTTATGATTTGGGATCTAACTTTGAAATTACCTTATCCATTTGGATACAATTCTGGCGTAGTGGACTACAGATACAGTTCCATGATTTGATATTGAAACCGATCATTTAATATTTACAATGCCTAAAAAAAAATAATTGACTCCAACGCATATTTTTAATTTTGACAAATGTCATGGTATCATACTAGCAATATATTTTTTTAGATACCTAATCTCAAGATTTTTCATTAAAAACCGTACTCTTCACTTATTTCTATACAATAAACGATTCTCCCGATAAATCGATTTTCGAAATGTGCAGCAACAGCTAGAACTTAGTTTTCTAAAAATCGTTTTCTGTATAATTGAGTGATTTCACAATAACGTGGTCTAGTGTAATGAGGATAATACAAACAAAGAAGATCACTAGATTACAATAACTTAATACCAATGAGATTTTCCAAAACTGCAAACTATTATGTCGATCAGAATTAAAAATAAAATAGTAAAGTAAAATAAGGAACAAGGAAACGCTGTAATATTTAATCAACACGAAACTCGTAGAAATGTAGTCCAATTATATCGTCTCCCTTTTCCAATTCAGTGAACTGCTGACAAAGTAGTGACATAATGCGAGGTAGTGTTAATTTGTTGTAGGAGCAAAAAGAATTTATATACCGCTTCTTTATATTTTTTCTCCAAGTCTTTTTCCTTGTACCTACATAATACATATATAAAAATATGATAATTAATAATTTAAAGCATTTTATAAAACATTGATATCATTTATATTCGTTTTCTTTCATAATTTTTTGATTTATATTGGTAATTACTTAAATTTTGAAAAATTAAAAAATTATAAATATTTGATGCTCACAATGCGGTAGTAAATTTTGTCTCGAGAAATTTTTTAAGTGTCTCGTGATTTATTTCTATTCTTTTGTTCTTCAAATTCAATAAAAAAGTTATTAGTTCGTTGATACTTATTTTTAGAGGTCGCTCGAACACATGTTAGGTAGGTACACTACTTTGAAAGTTAAAATAATTATGAGTGACCTTTAGAAATTAAAATATCGATTTGAAATTTTCAGAATCGAGATTTTTTTCAGCCTAGAAAATGATAAAATAACGAGAAAACAAATTTAAAAAAATTAATTTTTGACGATTTTGGAAATTTTTAAAAATCTTGAGCGATCTGTAAATTTTTTTTTTTTTTGAGCTGATTTCTTGAGGAGGCTCTTAAAACATGATAAACTATCATATTTTCACAAGAGACACTAAAAAAGAAATATTCGTTTTTTTGGGCCACCCTAGTATGTACTTAGAATGAAAGCATTTGTCTCATTTTTTAAGTTTAGTTATTGTTATCATCACCTTTTGTTTTAACTGTATTAAATAATTATCGAGTTTAATCCTTTTATTTATTCTTAATGACATTTATGCACTTTACAACGAACATCCAATTATTTTCCAACGACTACTTGAGTCTTCCTCCGCTAATGTGATCTTTAGGTGGTAGGTATTTCTTTTGAAACTCTTTAGGCCGATATTGCTTATAATTTTTAAACGGGAAATAATACAGAAAAAATTAATTCTCTAATAAAAGTTTGTTAGAAAAAAAGAGAGCTTTTTAACAGGAAAAAAATTTGGGTATGTTTCTGGAAAAAATATAATTGATGACGTCATTAGTCGTTTCTGTCGAACCCCAAAGATAATACTTTCGAGCTTCGTCCAATTGTGAAAACTGACTCCATTCGATGATAATAAGTCGCTCACTGCAGTAGTGCCTTGATTAAGGCACTGGGTAATTTTATTGAACAAGCATCAGAGTTAGGAGCAGATACTGACGCGCTAATGATTATTTGATATTAAAATATATGCAGTAAGTTGTAGGTGACATACATATCAAGTAAGTTAATTGTAAATGTCAACATTTTCTCTTCGCATTTTTAGTAAATTTTGAACTCTAGGATACAGTTTTCGAAAAAATATTGGTTAATACTCGATTACGATTCTCAAATTATTTTTTTACTCGCTATCGCTCGCAAATAAAACTTTCACTCTCGACTATTTCAGTTAACTAAAGTGTATTCTTAACAATAGAAAACAGATTAAAATTATATTTTACGACAATTGCAAAAAAATATATTGTGACTAAGAAACGTCAAAATTGAATCGGAAGTTTAAAAAAGCCTTTGTTTGAAAAGTTGACAACTTCATGAAAAAACGTATGTGAATCCACTCCCGTGCATTATTATTTCCCTGACTTTCAAAATGTTTCCACTGCATGCTCTTTCGTGGGTCCATACTTTTGGAATTAAAACGAAAAAATATCCGATAATAAATTTCCTCTTGTTAAATTTTAATCGCGAAATTACGACCGTTCGCCGAAAAACAACTGGCGGCCCCGCTACAGGAAAAGTAAATTAAAATAATGAAAAATCTGTGTCGGGCGAGGTTTATTTTCGCTAAAACCAGAATGCGAATTAATAATTCCGTACACAAGTAAAGCTCATTTAAAAAGCGCAGTGTCACAAATTAATGATCGTGCTTAACTACGGTTTTATTAGTTTTTTTAACGAGAGGCGAGGAGGGCTCGATTTATTATTATTTCCTTTTCCTGCAATGTTTTTGTTGTAAAACTATTTTAAAGAGAAGTCATAAATTTTACCGAACGGCGAAATTTATGGCGACGTTAAATTTAAAAATATCAAACCGCACACGCTTTAATAGCCATGAATTAAATGGGAAACTTGAAAATGAATGGACTCGCTTGATTGCTGATCTACAGGGCGTAATAAATTTTATCCATCTTGGTGTTGTTTTCGATGCTAAGTTAAATTTTATAAAACACATTGAGATAGTTGCATCATCTGCTTATAAAACTTTAGATATTATTATACGTTCTTGTCAAGGATTCACCAGCATACATACTATGAAATTACTTTATGAATCTTTTGATTAAATTTTATAAAACACATTGAGATAGTTGCATCACCTGCTTATAAATCTTTAAGTATTATTATACGCTTTTGTCAAGGATTCCGCAGCATACATACTATGAAATTATTAATCTTTTGTTAGGTCAAAATTGCAATATTCATCAATTGTCTGGAGTCCTGTTTATAGTGCACACATTGGGACCTTGGAAAAAGTTAAAAAAATTTTTTTTTATTTGTCGCATTTTTAAGCTTGACGAAATATGTCCTGAAAGAGGATATCCACATAATGCCCTACTTCATCGTTTTCATTGTAATCAGTTAAAAACAGGTAGAATTACACATCAAATTGTATTTTTACATAAAATACTAAACAACTTAATTTATTGCACCTGGTTACTGAACAAAATTCAAATCAAAGTTCCTAGGCTTACTTCTCGTGAAAATAATATACAGGTTGGCCAAATACTTTAAAAAAAATTAACATTTTAAAATTTAAATTATGTTTAGTTGCTTACTTACTACTTAGTTGATTAAATGTTCAAACTGATGACCGCCCGTTTCCATACAGGAATAAAGATTTTGTTCAAAATGTTCGCGCACATTCCGAAGCATTTCCGGAGTGATCCCACGGCATTCGTCGACGATTCTTCGACGCAAATCTTCCAGCGACGCTGGCTGTGTTTTATAGATTTTACTTTTTAGGTATGCCCACAAAAAGAAATCAAGGGACGATAAATCCGGTGATCGTGGAGGCCACTCAATGCTGCCTCTTCTCCCAATCCAATTCCGTAGAAAACGTGCTGCCTCGTACTTGTCCCAAAACTGCAACTTCACTAGCTTCATTAACTATAGATTTTTCAATTTCTCGTTTTTTATTGGCTACATTCCCTGTATCTTGATTTTTTTTTACTAACTCTAGAACATACTTTCTCCTGACATGTCGATCTTGATGTTGTTCATTAAATAGCTGAGCTGTTCTATTCGTACATTTATTGTTCATAAAGTAAAGCGAAATGATATCTACCATTTCCGCAATGGAATAAACCATAGTGTTTAATTTTCAAAAACACAATTAAATAAACTACCAACCAACGCTTCCAAATAATACTAGAAAATAATTTGGAATCCACTAATTTTACGTTCATTGTGTTTTTTTATGAAAGTGATAACAAATCGCCAAAAACCAATATAACACAATAAATATTAAATTTATACCATTGGCGTACTTAACTCGAATGACACATTTTTACCGTTACTAATTGTTTGTACATAAGCTTCAACTTTAAAATCAAAATTCTTAATAAGTATTGGCGGAATTATAAAATTTAAAATCTGTTGTAAAGAGAATTGTAAGAGCTTTCAAAAGAAATATTACTCAACCCCCAATGCCATTTAAATGTTTTGGGTGAAAGTGGCGGAGTCAAAAATACCAGCAAAGAATGTCCCCCTTTAATCTGAAATCGACGGGTCTGAACGTTTTTCTACAATTTTGACGCAGTTCCTGTAAATGGCTCTGTTTCGTTTTCATTTGGCCACCCTGTATTTAAATTAACCACTGTAAGAACTAAGGTTATGAAAGCATTTCCTTTATATCAGATGATTGTCAACTATTGCAATGTTGAGGACAG